AAAGTTTCAATTAAAGGCAATTGGCTTGTATTATATGGCTGTGTTTACATCCTTGCATAGCAAGATTGTCTTTTATAGCATCTTCAGTAAGAGCCAGACAGTATCCAGACACCACAGCTTTTCTTCCTTAGTAATTACTGAAGAGACAGCTGTTTTGATGTCCATCCTACACGAGGAATGTATTCAAACAAAATTTATCTTCACTGGCATATTAAGCTTCACATGAGTCTTCAGGTGCAGGTGTTACAGATTGTTACTGATTTGTTATTAATTTGAGTTGATGATTTTTGGCGATTTTGATAAGGAATGATTAGGATTAATCAATAAATGGAATCTCACAGAAATATCGGGGTTTTTTAAATAAAAGATAGCGGTGTAATGTTTTAAGTAGTCACAGAGATCCAGGATTTAGTTTAAAGTAACCATACAACCAATTACACTGATAGAGGAGGTTCCATTGTTAGACTGTTTGGTGAGGATGATTTATAGCCTTGCAGACCAGGTGTTTTAAAAGCTGTATTGTGAAAGTGTCACCGAAATCCGGGATAAAAATAACTTATCGACACCAATGTGATGCAGATAAGCAGACACTTCTTTATTGACGGCCGGACGTGTAGGGGAGTGCTCTCACCAACAACACGTGCCAGGCACCAGAATCATACACCTTATATAGAACTTACTTATACATACTTATACATATTCATTAAGTCTTCATACATAAGCATACAACTTCCAAGAAATCATTAACATATTCTCCTCCTACTTCCAACTCTGCGCAGTAGAGGTTAGAAATGTCTAGAAATGGGTCTGGGGTGTAATGTGAGTAGGTGGTCCATGAGTTGGTGGTCGCGATCTCCCCCTGCTGGAATTACCTTTTGCTCAAGGACACGGTTTTCTTGGCAGGTACCTGCAAGCTGTTACGGTCACTGCCCTCAGTTCCCATTAATCCTGGACCTCGACAACTACTTGCATTCTTCTAGTCCTATGTATGTATTATAAATCAGTTTACAAATCACATCATGTTTTGTTACCTAGGTTCTAACCGTTCCTACTAAACAATTATGACCAGCCCCTTCAGCCTTAGTACAGGGCTGTACAGGGGATTTTAGAGTAGCAGTCAGTTACTAGATTCAAAATACAATAAGTGTACAATTATTTTTACTAATATATCCCCTAATTCTATATTTATATTAAAATCAAACAATTTAATTTTAATTGATAATAAAATCAGTAACATTTCCCCCCTTTGAAAGTGTTGAAAATCATTTCAGTACTTTCACACTTTTATTCATTTTTATCTTTGAAGTCAAAGTTTGTCTTGTCAGATGATGGTGGTGGTGGGCTGTAGTCTGGTGTTATAGTGGGTACTTCTCTTATAATTTTATGATATATTGCAAGACTATTAGTAAACTGTATGTTACCAATATAATCATCAAAAGGACAATTAATAGCAAAAATAGAATTTTGATTAAGTATTTCAGCCAAAATCACAAATTACATCATAATCCACTAAAAATTTTCCTAGTAAATCTTTTGACCAATTTTCTCGAATGGTTTCTGTTTCTTTTTCGATTTTGCCTAACAGATCTAAGTCATGTTCTACATCCTGTGTAACATTTGGGATATGAATGCAGCAATGATCTAATCTATCTTTCAGATATCCACACACTCCATGCTCTTTTAACAGAAGCATGTCTAGTGTCATCGTGTTCTCAAGTAGAAGTGCTTGAGGCCACTTTGAATTAGTCTCTTGACAGATGTTACTTATTTGCCTTTTTAAAATTCTGGTTCATTCTTCCTACTATTCCACTGGATTGTGGCCTCCATGGAATATGCAAATCCCAAGTGATACCCAGAATTTTGCTAACATTTTGAACTATTTCTGCAACAAAGTGTGGACATTTGTCATACAAAATTCTAATAGGAACTCCAAATCTTGGAATTATTTTTCTCATTAACTACCTTACTACTTCATTGGCTTGTGTGGTGCAACAGGGAAAACCTTCTGGCCATCCTGTAAAAGTATCAACCCCCACCAGAATGTATCGGTACCCATTTTGTCTAGGTAATTCTGAAAAATCTACTTGCCAATAATCCCCAGGCTCTGTACTAGATTTTAATTTACTCATTTGAACTCTTTTCGTAGTTACTGGATTATTTCTTAAACATACTTCATATTTTGCAGTTATTAATTTAGCCATGTCTATCATCTTGACAGATATAACTTGTTTTTGTAAAGAAGTTACTAAAGCTTCTGCTCCCCAATAACATCCTTGATGTTTGGTTTGCATTATTCTCTCATTAATAAAGGTGGAACTACTACTTGTCCATGACGAGTTATGTACCATCCTGCAAAATTTTTCTTACCATTCAAAAATTGACCTAATCTTTTCATCTTCTACTGAATATTTTGGTCTTTCCCTCAGAAGAGTTACTGTTTTGAGGGAATTAATGCCATTTGGAATGTTTGTTCCTTTGCTATTTTTCTTGCTGTTCAGACAGCCCAATTGTATCTAATAAATTTTATTTTTTTTTTGTATTTTCAATTTGGTGTGATTTACAGTGCATGATTGCTACTTGATCTGGTTTTTGAACTGATTGTAATAATTGTAAAATTTCCTTTAATGTTTAATATTTGATCCCTGAGAGGATAAAAATCCCCTTTCTTTCCACAAAGCTCCATGGACATGTACCACCCCAAAGCATACTTTGAGTCTGTCCAAATATTTACTTTCTTCTTTTCACTTAGTTCTAAAGCTCGAATCAAAGCAATGAGTTCTGCCTTTTGAGTTGATGTGGTACTCGTCAGTGCCTTTGCTTCTATAACTGTGGTGTCTGTTGTTACCGCATATCCAGCATATCAAACTCCTTGCTCCATAAAGATGCTGCCGTCTGTATACAATTCCCAGTCTGGCTGCTCCAATGGTACATCCTTCAGATCTTCTCGACTGGAATAAACATACTCAATAGTAGCCAAGCAGTCCTGCTCCAGTTGCTCTTCTTCCTGTGTGGAACTTAAAAACACTGCAGGATTTACCAGTTACTGGTTTTTAGAATCACATAATCTTGTTCAGTCAGTGCTATCTGGTACTTCATCATTCAGCTCAGAGATAGCCAATGTCCCCCCTTCCGTTCCAAAACAGTTATCACCATCTGTGGGACATAGACTGTTATTGTTTTCACAAAGTCAATTTCTGAGCTTCCTGTATGAGCATCACTGTTGCAGCCACAGCTCGAAGGCTGTTTGGCCAACCTTTACTCACTGTGTCCAGTTGTTTAGGGAAGTATCAGACAGGTCATTTCCAACTTCCCATCTTCTGAGTCAGCACACCCAGTGCCAGGCATTGTCTTTCATGAATAAACAGCTGAAAGTCTTTGGTTATGTCCAGAAGTCCTAAGGCAGGTGCAGACATTAGAATGTGTTTCAATTCTGTGACAGCCCATTGTTGCTGTGGGCCCATGTAAAAGGAGAGTTCTGTGAGCCTCACATAGCAGTTTAGCTGTTAGACCATAATTCATGATCCAGAGGTAGCAGCACGCTGTCATTCCTAAGAATACTCAGAGTTCATTAATTTTTTTTTTTTTTTTTGGTTTACATAGCTTCTCAGTGTTCTGTTCCTAATTGTTGCTGCCCTTTTGAAATCTTAAAGTCCAAATATATCACAGTCTGACATGCTATTTGGGTGGGTTTTTTTTTTTTTTTTTTTTTTTTTTTTTTAGTGCCAGAAAATTAAAAAGATCCATTGTTACCTGTATGTAGGTAAATCTTTCTTCTGTAGCAATCAGTGTGTTATCCACGTATTGTAAAAGCAAATGTCCAGGTTTTGGTTTGTACCGTTTTCGTGTTTCAAGCTTCTTTGCCAGCTGTTTTTCAAAAATTATCAGGCTATTTTTAAATCCTTGGGGTAGTCGTGTCCATGTCAACTGCATCTTTGTCCTGTTTGTGGATTCTCCCACTCAAAAGCAAACAATTTTCTGTTTTCCTTCTCCAAGGTATACAAAAGAAAGCATCTTTTAAATCGAGCACTTTAAACCACTGATAGTCTCCTTTAAAGCTGTTAACAGCATGTAAGGATTTGCTGCTATAGGATATATACCCTTAACTATTTGATTCACTGCTCTGAAGTCTTGCACTATCCTATATTTACCCGATGGTTTTCTGACTGGTATAATTAGAGTTTTATACTCAGATTCACACTCCTCCAAGATTTTATATTTCAAAAATTTGTGATTCAGTTTCTTTCTTATATCTGGTACTGATTGTTCTATAAAAAGCAAAGCCAATTATATATGAGCTGCCTGAGTTTATACTCTCAAATCAGGTTGTTGGTTTTCTTTCTGTTGGTTTTGTGGGGTTTTTTTGGTTGTTGTTTTTTTTTTTTTTTTTTTTTTTTTTTTTTTTGCTTCTTTTAGTCTTTCCAGAATTGCTGAGGGAGATTCATTCTTATCTTGTCTCACCTCATACAATGTAGACCAGTTCAGAAACCTAGGCATGGCATGTTTAACTCCATATAAAACCCATATGACTACCTGTCTCTTATGAAATACTGTACAGTAAAAGGGAAGGAAGAGGCACTTTTTGAAACTAAGTGTATCACAGTGTTGAGAACTTGGAGTAGCACAGTGACACAAACACTGTACGGTCTCATACAAAAACCTGAGACTGCAAAAGGAACAATACATTTTGAGGAAGAAAGGAAAAAGGAAATGTGTTGAAGATGAAAACTGAAGATTTCATATGAGCATTTGTTTTGGAAGTGTACTGCTTTACTGAGCTAATAGAAAATAAAAGGGGTTTAAAAGCTTTAGCTTGGATCAGGTTGTTTCAAGTCACTCTACTATGAAATAATTGTTTTCTCCCCTCATGATTTTGGAAACAGTGATGACTTTGGAGCACTTTTATGGCAGTCTATTGATAGATCCTTTGGATGAACTGCAGGCATTTATTCCACCTTTGATTGTGGTGAAGAAAGTGGGTTTATCTGACTACATGCAATCAGTGTGGCAACAGACAAGCTTGTATTCGGAGCTGGGATCACTTTTTCAGTTGAGCCAAGTAAGTTCCACTTTTTTTACTACTAATGTATTTCTTAAGTTTGCAGTGGGGTGGACAAAGGAATTGTGTGATGTGACAGCATAATGAGAAATTTCTGCTGCCTCAGATCTCTCGAACATGTGCTGTCCAGCCAGTGAGTCTTCAGTTCATGTTTAGTTAACAAAGCTTTTCAGGAACAACAAAGATAGTTTCCTAGCTATGTTGATTACTCCCCAGATCCTCTCTCCTGTAGCTGCACTGCTAAATTTAAGACTATTTATACCCAGTGGTGTCTTAGCCCAGCTTCAGTATAAGGTGAAAGTAGTTGCTTGCTTTCTTTTGTGTAAACACTAAGGTGTATGGAAGGAAAAAAAGGACATGTAAAGAGTTTCAGGAGAAAGTATTTCCCATGGAAAGAGGGGATATTTTTTGCAGGAACTGCTTGAAATGGCACTCTTCTGAACCTGTTCTTCATAAGGATGGACTATCTTCTTCAGCTTTTGTGTGACTGTGAAAGTGGGAGCAATGGATGAGTTTATTTGGTTGATTTTTACTGTCCTAAAACATTCATTTGCATACCACCACCTGAACACACACACTCCCCAGACAGGCATGGGATTCTCTTAGGTGGTAGCTCACATCTGTAAACCCCATATGGATATACAGCTGCCTTGAAATCTTTAGGGCATCTTACCTGCCTATTTTGGGGCAGATAAATGCAGCTTTAAGTCCTGTAGGAATAGGGAATCCAAAGATACTATTTTGAAAAAATCATTTGCAAAAGTAGGACAGCAAGGTACCATTAGCTTCCATCAGTCCAGCTTCAATCTACAATAATTTAAACTTGTCAGAAGATATTCTACCATGAACAATCAATCAACAAAAGTTATTGGTGGGTGTAAGTCTAAATAATGGTATTGCCTTTTTAGACAAATAAATCAACCCTAATGTGAGGTTCAGTTTCTACACAGGAAGTATCTTGCATGTCTTTTAAAACAGAGGAATTGGCTATCAGTATTGGTAATCACTATTTGGTAACTGGTAATCAGTAATTGGCTGTGTCATGACTCCTGTTCTTCAGGAAAGAGGGAAAAAAAGTCTATCTGAAAACAGTAGGCTTCAGAAACTATTGATTCCTCCAAAGACAAAAATAGATTTTCCATGTTTCTATAAAGCTGCTATCCTGACTCTTTCGGTGGTTGTTTTTGTTTTGTTTATTCATTGATGTGGAAGATATTCAAAAGGACTTTAAAACCATTAAGAACACTGCAGGAGCTGGGCCTCCTGAAAATCAACAAGAACAAAAGACAAAGAAAACATTCTTTAATCTCTACACAGTTTTTTGAGGTATCTTCTCCTGAGAATTCAATAATAGAATGGCTTACAGATTACTTGGTTTCTTTCCTGTATACTTCTCACAGGAGTAAGCCAAGGTCCACAAGAGGATGGAATATATATCCAATTCTGTGATTTTGTAAGATTAAGAGGAGGGGAAAGAACAATTATTTGCTTAAGTTTATTAATTGGTTTTTGTGTGCAATACAAATAGAACTGCTCACCTCCCACTCCACCCAAAAGTAAAAAGATGTCCTAAGGATCTACAAGACATCTGTTTCTTTCAGAAGGGACAGACAGAAAGAAGACAGAATAAATGGTGTATTTTGAATGGCACTAAACTTCTCTGTTGCTCTTTAGGATGGCTCAGCATTATGCGATGAGACAGTCTCATGACTTGGAAACCTCTCCAGAGTACACATAACACTATTCTCTTTTTAAGAGATATTTATATGCCTGGGTCAAGTTCCAAATAGAAATATTACAGAAACTTTCAAATAATAGAATTGAAAAGAAAACCTCCTTGAGACTGAATATTTCTTAGTGAAAGATTTAACCTTATCTTCCATTTTAGCAACATTATTTTATATCTGCAAGTAATCCCACTCCTTGGAATAGCATTGTAGAGTGGAGTAACAAACTGGCTTCTCTCCCTGTATGCTATGGTTAAGTCTTTTAGCCTCATCAGGTAAAGGATTTTTAGGTAATAAAAAGAAGGATCTTTTAGTATGTATCATGTTAAAAGTATATAAGTCTACCCTTGAAGCAAATGTTCTTCTTAGTGTCTAAATTGTTATGAATTAAAATATAATATGATAATAATATTGGTTATATGATATGATTATATCATTATATTATATATCATTATATTATATGATATGTTATTATATAATATTATATGATTATATTATATAATAATATTGAATAATAATATGATAATAATATTTGTTCTGTATTCTTACAAGATTGCTCAGTTAAAGGAATTCAGTTATATATATTCTGGCAAAAACAAGCTTAGGATTCCAAGGGGCTAGAAGCTCTAATGAAAATGCCACCCTTATATATCCTTTCTGTCTTTGATCTGCTATTTGGGAAGCAGAAAGAAGAAATAAACACAGAAAGACACTCAGCTCTTAGGGTGCAGACATGGCTGGACTATATCTGAACTGTAAATGATTTAGCTCTCAGAAAGTATGCAGAAAATAAAGTCTGGTACTTCTTTTTCAGTAAGTCAAGAAGAAGCTTCTCCAGAAGTCATTGTACTTAAATCAAAGGAACTCAAACAGTATGACAACAAACTGAACATGGCTTGTTTGGCAAGGACTTTCTACCCTAAGAGCATCAGCCTTGATGTGCCCGAGAGTGACATTTCATATGATCTGAAGGCCCCTGTTGTCACATCTGAGGGGTTGTATAGTACTATGAAGGTAACTCGAGTGAAACCAGATGCAAAGGTGACCTGTAAGGCTATGCACAAGGGCAACAAGACTACAGCCAGCATAATTCTGCCAGGTACAGTGTTGTGGTCCAAATGCAATGTAATTCTGGGAGATGAATCTTCCAAGATTTTTTCTTTCCTTTTGAGAACCTAGCAGAAACAAGTAAGGACAGTCAGAAAGATATTTGGGTTCTTAGGTGAGGACAATATTCAAAAGTACTGAGCATACATGACCTTAATTAAATTATTTAAGCACTTGGAGTTTTCTTCCCAAAATAGAAAAAAAACCCAAACAAACAAACCCCCTACCATCCCATCAACGAAACCCCTCCAAAACTCTAATATTTGCTAGTCTACCTTTATCTAAGGCAAACTAATTCAAGGGACTTGAGTATACATTCATGGTAGAAGAAAGTTGAAAATAACATTTATGAAAACACAAAATAAAAAGGTGATTTTATTTTTATTTTTTATACCCCAAAAATCTTTTGGTTACTTTTTTTTTTTTTTTTTTTTTTTTTTCCTATAGTAAAATTCATTTCAGAGAAGAGAGAAAATAAGGCTCACCAGTCCTGTATTTATTTTTTTTTTCCTGCAATGACATGTAGAAAGCTAATTTTTATCTACAAATTAATCTCAGAATTAATGACCTGCCATCTGATTCTCCAATACTTTTTATCTATTGCTGTGAAATGAACTATAGGTATGTTTTCTGTAATTTTTGTTTTATATAGCTTGGATACAATTTATAGTGTCTCTCAATTATTCAGCAGATGAAAAAACTGAAGAGTTTGAAACAGCTATTGCTTGCAATGTTACAGATGCCTCTACAAAAGGTTAGTTGTCTAAAGGAACAACTGAGCATGGTTCTTTATTGAGGATTTAGTAACAATGTATGAGAATGCATTGTCTTTAGTACAGAAATGACTGAACTGTAGGTAATTCTTAAGGAATAAGCTGTACTTTTTGTGGACTCAACACTAAGACATTAAAAATTGCTTTCTCCGGTGCAGAAATATCAGAATTTAAAATATAGATATAGAAATAACCTGCTCTTCCAGGTTAAACAGACTACATAACTGACATTTCCATGAGAAATAAATTCCTCACTGGGCAGAATATCTCCTCTGTTCCCTGCAGTTTATACATTCATCTGTCACAATTTCCTTCATTCCTGCTTCCCTCATCAACCTATGATGTGTGGATTTTCCTTCTTTTTTGTGAGGGGGGTCGGGGTAGGGCATGGGGATAATATCAAGATCACACTCTCTTCCCTTTTCTTCTTTTTAAAGCAGATGTCAAAACGGAGAAAGTGAATATGCTGTTCATATCTGTTTTGTTTTTGAGAGTCCTGCTGGCAAAAAGCATCGCTTTCAATACAATCATGAGTGTCAAGCTGTTTCTCTGCTGAGGTAGGAAATACATAACTCAGTCCCTGAGAACACAGGAGGCAAGTGCAAGTAGTGACCACTTGGCTTTGCATTCTGTAATTCCACGAGGAGTGACATCAGTTCAGCTGTTCTAGTTTCCATTGGATAATCCCTAAAACCTCATCCCCAAATTGCCTTTGCACCATACTAGTCCAGAGCATCGAAGGTTCTATCAGAAATCTTCTCTTGGTTGTTTCAAGTGGCAGAGAACAAAGTGTGGATAAATGTTCAGATCAGCAAGAACTGTAAAGGGAGAATCCAAAAAGCCAACAAATTGGAAAAAAGGGAACTGAAAAAGGAGGAGGAGAATGACAAAAACCCCCATTCCAATCCATTGCAGATTAACAGAAACTTGGCACCACTGCATTAAATGTGAATAAGAATTTAAACCAAACATTGTTTGCTCTTTCAGGTACTTGATAAGTGAGCCAGCAATGGGCTGAAGAAGAGCAGAAAAGAACACAGATGGATATTTTAAACACCACGGGTCAGCTTTGCTACCAATAAACATCTGAAAAATAAACAAACACCCCAGTTCCTGTAGGTTTATGAGTCCCTTTACTTCTCCAAGGTGCTCTTCAGTTAATATCATCTGGAAGATTTCTTAGACAGCTAATACTGCACAACACGTGCCTAGTTTAGTTTCATTAACTGTTAGAACATTTTTTTTGTTATTTCTTATTTCCATAAGAAATTTCCCTCATCCTTCTGCTAAGCAGGAATACTTAGCTCTCCTACTCCTGTATCCATTGCACTGAAGCATCCAAATGGCTTATACAGTTTTGAAAACTTAAAGTTGAAATTTATACTTGCTATGCTTTAAAAATACCATCTCTGGTCATATCACATTATTGTGTACAGAAGTAATGCTTTTCTGGTTAGGGATCCCATGCACAGAGGGAGCATTGTATAGTTTGAATTTTTAGAAGCTTTTATTAGTGGTAATTTACTAGTGCAGGTAACTTCACTGGACCTGAAGGAATTCACTAATACAGCAGTATTTTCATTTCCATCTCTTCTTTAGAATATTTTTCTCTTTTGTTATGTATATGGTACCTTCATTTTAGGTTTTCTTAATATACACCAAAATAAAGTTTTATTATTGTTGGTTTGCCCTATGCCCTTTCTTCTGAAAGTTGGATGGAAACTGGAAATTCCACTGTCCTATGAAGTGACCACTGAGAAGTAGAAAACCACCTATTACAGCCTAGATTTCCTTTTCATTAAATTTATGTATCTTGGGCTTTCCACAGAGAAAGAGACACTCCTTGGCACATTTAAGAGACTTCAAGGAGGGCTATGAAACCCTGCGTTTAAAGGAATTTTAATAATTCATGTCCCTTTCAAATTACTCAGGCTCAAAATTGTTGATCATAACAAAAAGAGAGATGGATCTAAAGAGAAAACAGTAAAGATGAGGAGCAATATGATCATTAATGTGCAGACCTCAGAAGGTGAGAGAACATGCTGCTGATCTTCTGCTCACCAATACTAGGAAGGGCCCAACAGGATGTTTTGATAGATAACATAGCTGTTTAGTTGGCAGTTAGAAAAGCCCAACAATTACTTTTGTCTCACATGCTGCAAGCTGCTGCCTGCTTGAAGCAGGAAACTGTGGTTAAAACACATGACTAATCGTGCTATGCAAGACAAATTACGCCTTCCTTTTAAAAACATGTTAACCACTTCCTGGGGAGCAGGGTCCTCAATGTTTTTCAGATGCTGATTGAACTGCCAGCTCCAAAATGGTCACCAGAAGGGTGCATGGCAAAATTTATTTAACTAACTTTAGCATGTTTAGTTGTTGTTCAAACCCTCACTCCTGTCCAGAACATGTGACATTTCTATGGTGAAACCACTGTCTCTAGGACCTGCAGCTCTGAGGCTGGGTCCCAGAAGCACACTTTTAGTGTCAAAACCCATGATGATCATGCTTTTGTTTCCTAGGTATCCCAAGGCCAGATGGACATGTTGATCCACCTAGACTGTAAATGCTTCTTGAAACAGCTTCCTTACTGATCCAGTTAGGCAGGCCATACTCCACTTGTGCAGTCTGACTCAACCACACAATCAAACCAGGTTAGACTGCTCTCCCTGCATCCAGTTTCTACTTCATTGCTTCCCTCGCACTCTGGCTGCTGACCCCGGGTTAATATTCCTGTAGGCAGTGCCCAGCACTCTGGTCTCCTTCCATCCCCAAGCATGGTGGTGTCCCCAGTAGCTCTTTAACATCCTCCTGCAAGTGGGGTAGCCCCAGACCAAACTGGTCCATGTGACACAGAACCTGCAGAAGGGGAAAGCTGCCCTGCAGCACCCCTGCATTGTCACTAGAGCCTCAGGAACTCTGGAGCAGGGTCGTTGCATGGTGAGGATGTTATGTACCACATCATTTGTGGCAGTATTCTCCTTCATGGCACTTTCTCACAAGGGCAAAAACTGATCCTTTTTTGCATCTGTAGGGTGGGTGCACACTCAGAAGATTGTGGGCTGCAAGATGCAGATAAAAGCACCTGCCCATAGAAGCTGCCTTTGAGCAGTAGGCAGTATTACCAAAGGGGCAATTGCTTCCAAGCTTCCTGTTGGCATTTATTTGCTTTAACAGATCTTTCCTTCTGAATATGGAAGGAAAGACATAAGGTTTCAACATATAACATATAACATATATCCACTCCTCCTGTTAGTCCAAGAGGAAAACAATCTATAGGTCCAATAATATGCCAGTTGAGGAAACATAATTAGTGAGTAGCAAAACTTACACAGAGCAATACTAGCCTTTGCCCCAGCCCAAAAATGTGGCTAGGCTAGAAATTCAGCTTGACCTTGGCACTGGCCTCCTTGCAAGACCTTCAGAAACTGATGTTTCCAGTTTCTATTGGTATCAAACATCAGAGCTCAGAGACAACTGCCAACTTGTTTACTTTCCTCTCAACCTCCATGGACCAGACATTTCTCAAGAGAATGGAGAAACAGCAGAGCAGCTTCTGGAATTGGCCTGTGACCCTGAGACTGACCCATGCCTGTGCAGTAACTCTTGAGATCTGGGAGAAAGGAGTGAGGTGAAGGCACTTCACAGAGGTAAAATATCAAGATATTGAAGAGAACAGGGCTCCAATAATACCTTGACAAGGACAGGAGTAGTTGGGCTGGGAGGGAAGTATTGGGACATGTGTTGGTAGTGAGTTCTTGCTCAGGAGGAGTTACTTCTGTTCATTTGCTATTTGATTGTTGAGGCTCAGCAGCTGCTGTGGTCCAGAGAACAGTTTGCCTCTGCATTTCCACTCAGGGTTGGCAGGTAAGAAAAGGCTGAGCTTCAGCTAACTCCAGTTTAGGACAAGTACCAGGAGCTGCAGCTGATCCTACCAGCTCCCTGGGGAAAATCATGAGCCTTCAGCAGCAAACGGCAAAGGCAGAATATGACAGAGAACTCTGGCCCTCAGGCAAGTGGAGAACTTTTTGTGATTTCTACTGAAGGTGGAGAGAGGACAAAGCTGGAAAGGGCAGAGGGACAGTGTGTGGAGGTGAACTGAGTCATCTGTGGGAATGAAACCTGCTATCAGAGCAGCATTTCTTCAGCACAGAGCACATTTATCCTGGGGTCATCCATGTGTATTGTCTGGGAAATCATTATTCGCAGATGCAGATGCAGAGTTACCTGTCAAAAGGAAAACTCTGCTTGGGCAAGGATCATAAAACTCCTGCAGCTCCCTGACCTTGCTGCTTTTTTTTTGGAACAGACCCTTGGATCTCCATCACCTTCTGGACCATTTCTGTAGTGCTACATGGTAAGAACCTCATGGCCAGGCACGTCAGGGCTTTGTTCACTGCTTTATAGTGCTCTGGCCAGGGACAGATCTGATGATTGCAGAAGCCCTGGGATCATGTCCTGCTCCACTATATGCTTGTGCCTTGAGGGTGTGAGGTGGGCCAGGGGGCATGGCTCTTTCTTGGCTCCTCAGGGAGCAGCAGGTGCAGCTGTGTGGTATGGGATATGGGTCAGCCTGGCCCCAGAGCCCAGCCCCTGTCCCACCATCAGCAAGACAGGAGCACCCCCTAGTCTGTGGGGCCAGGGTGTGCTGGGTGTCCCGGGCCTAGACTGCAGAGCTGGGCTCTGCCTGCATTGCTCTATGTCTGAGAGTCTGCCCAAACCCTGCCCCTAGTCACCCTGTCAGAAGTGATTCTGAGAAGTGTCTCCAAACAGCATCTCCTGTTTCATGAGACAGATCAACCAGTGCATCAGAAATGGCCCCTTTGAGAGATGAATGTAGCTCTTCCCAGACATGAGATGAGGTCTCAACATGGTGATCCCTGTAGAAGAGGATTGGGAGTTGGTCTCCTGGCTTTCTGACCATGAGCACTTGGCTGTTGTTGTGTTTTTGGCTCTGGATTTCTGGCTTTCCTCCCCAGCAGAGAGGTTAAGGAGATACTGTTGTTGTGAACATATGTTTTGTAGGAATTAAGATTGCCTTGGAGCAGGGCTGCTGCAGGGGTGAGTGATGTGTCTCTTTCATGGTCAGTCACTGCTCATCCCATTCTACCAGAATGCCCTGCTAAGGCTGTGTGAATCAAGTGTAAAGGAGGTTCATCTCCATGCACCCTACTCTGCAGCATGCAACATGCTAATTCAAGTATGCACAGACAGACACAAAGGAGCATGTATTGAAGGTAAGCAGGCATATAATCTATTTGTGTGCAAAAAAAGAGCACTCTTCCTGGAAGGATTCCTCATTCTAGAGTGAGACTCTTGCTCCCTATTGGGTGAATCTTACTCTCTTTATGTTACATAGACACTCTCTGGACTACCAGCTTACACCCAGGGATATTCTCTCCAACAGCCTTCCCAGTGTTGACCTGGAGTCCCCTCACTCTAGTTATACATGAAGTCTCCATTAGCACACTGCAGCCGTGGTAGTGTGTTGATATGTGGTGACTCCCATAGTTCCTTTTCTAGTCAGTTACTTTGTATATGCAGTCCAGGAACTCC